TCAAACCCCCATAGTCTATACAAGGGCATAGGTCTCCTTCTTTTTTAGAAACGAAGAAGATCCCAGCTCCAGCAGGTGAAGAGGATCTACGTATGTGACCCTTTCTGAGACACAAAGATTTTCTTGCATATAATTCTCCTTTAGGGGGCATAGTGCCTGGTAACAAATTTATGGCACAGTCGTAGGGTCTATGTGGTGGTAATACCTCCGACTGTACCTTGTTGAATACCTCTTTTAAGTCCAAATACAGTGGTGGGATTTCTGTGGTCAAGGGAGGCGCTATAGGTATATTGAGGGTACCAATTCGTTGTTGCACCTGTTTTAAACAAATACATCAGCATCTCTCACCCCAACTCACAATTTCTCCTTCAACCCAATCTAAATGTGGGTTGTGTTTCTGGAGCCAAGGGAAACCCAGTATTATCGGACATGTAGGTGAAGATATAATTTGGAAAACCATTTCTTCAGAATGTAAGATACCCACTGAGACAGTGATTGTCAGGGTTTCGTGCGTGATGAGAGGCTGGGTAAGAGGTCTCCTATCGATAGCCTCTACTGCTATGGGTCTATCTTTCTGCCTTACGGGCAGGAGATGTTTGGCAGAGAATTCCTTGTCTAGAAAATTCTCCGTTGCCCCAGAGTCAATCATAGCCTCACACAGTACAGTGGTTTTCTTACAAGACAAAGTAATTTTTATAAGGAAATGGTTCTTAGTCAATTTAGGGGACATATACATCACACCTAAGGTCGGTCCCCGAACGTGCCTTAGGTGTGCAAGTTTTCCGGCTAAACCGCACATGAAAACCTTTGATTTTGCCACAATACAAACACAACCCCTCGTTGTGTCTGTGTTGTCTCTCTGCCTCAGTGAGTTTAGTAATGCCCAGTTGCATGGGTTCAGGTTCTGGAGGTGGAGCATGGCTAATTACCACTGGGTTAGAGAAACGAGGGGCTATGGATAAGTTAGAACATCTAGTACGCTGTTTGTTTTTCTCTCTCTCTCTCTGAGCCTGTTATCAATGTCTATCATGTATGCAATAAAGCCATTAAGGTTAACTGGAAGATCTCTGGCTGCGGTCTCGTCTTGTATATTTTCCGCTAACCCTTCGGAAAAAGCAGCCACCAAACTGCTATTGGTCCAGTCAACCTCAGACGCCAATGTCCTGTACTCTATGGCGTAATCAGCTACAGAGCGGTTGCCTTGTTTTATTCTCATTAGGGCTCTGGCAGCAATCTTTTCTCTCCCTTTTTGGTGCAAAAGTAGTTTTAAATGCTGTTAGGAATACATTGTAATCACGGGCAACTGGATTTCCACTCTCCCATAAGAGATTGGCCCAGGTTAAAGCCTTACCCGTTAATTGGTTCATTAGATAGCCAATTTTTGATCTATCTGTAGGGAATGAACCAGGGGAAGCTTCGAAGTGATATTCAATTTTAGTTTCGAAAACCTCTAAATTCTTTAGAATCACCTCCAAAACAAGGGGGAGGTGAAAGGGTTATGGACGGTGGTTTGTGTGCCGCATGTGCTACTACAGGTGGCGGAGCCACAGGCGGTATCGGAGGTGCCTCCAGATAGGCAGTTCTCTGGAGCAAGGTCTGGAATGCTTGGGCATAGTTCCGCAGGATCCAAGGCCCTGTCATAATGTCACGGCTGCTAGTGTGGTCCAACACGCAGAAACATATACATAAAAAAGGAAAGGAAAATAAAAGGACAGAGCGTAAACCGGACCTTAGAATGGCCGGACTAATACGCTAGAGATAGAGAATGGTCAAAGGGAAAGCCGAGGTCAAGGAAGCCAGAAATACTCAGATACCGTTTAAACAAGCCAAGTCTGGGGAACCAGAATTCGGAATAACCAGGGAAAAGCCAAGATCAGGATACCAGGAAGTCAGATTCACAAAGATAAATGCACTCTCGGGAACTAGGAACAGGAAACCACGACAGGGCAAGGAACTGGAGTGAATTAAGGATTTAAATATCCCTCTCTGGGCTCTGATTGGTCAGAGGGTGACCTTTGACCCCAGAACGTGAGTGTAAATTTTAGGGGCGGAGCTTGTGATCTGCGGGACTACGTGGTCATGCTGATGAGGTAGAACAGAAGCCCGGTAAAACTATTCATAATGGGAAAAATCATGACAGATACATGCTAGAGGAGCACATTTATTCATATGTGGTGGACATGCCCAAAGGTTAGCCGATTCTGGACACAGGTCCAGACCCTGTTTAAAAATATATTTAAACAGCAGGTTGTCCAAATCCACTGTTGGACTTCTCTTGAAGGAGCAAAACTCCTAAACAAACTAACAAACTAACCGCCCAGATCATAAACACGGAGAAAAAATTTGGCATCCCTGGGAGACATATATCAATGACTGAACACCCACTAATGAAGACAGAACAAGACCCTCAGGGGAGGACAGACTGTGCCGCGTGCCGCATCCTCCCCCCAATCAGTCCCCGCTCCACAATGCACGGAAGGCCTGGGAGGAATCAGCAGATGGAAGAAACAGATGCTGGTAGTCACCAAACATACACAAATAAAAACAGCACACATCTAATTACTGACACATACAAATGTCACAGGTGGCACTGCAACACAATCCCCCCTTCATCCCCATCACACAATCAACGCAACCCTGAATAGACAATAATTTTAAAAACCAAAACAACAAACAAAACTAAAAAACTAAAAAAACACGACAGCTCAGACTGATACGAACACCAATAACTAACACCACCTCGAAAAGAGAACTTGGGGGAACACAAGGGACAATCTAACAAACACGTTCCAAATGGTGCATGCCGCTTTACTTGAATATAAATGGCAGTAGGACCACAGTGGTATCACGACAGGGCCAGCCAAGACTTTCAAAGGACTCCCCGCCCTACCCGTTCACCCTCAAACCTCCTTACCCTCCCCTCTATCCATATTAATGTGAATACCTACCTCAATACTGGGTTGAGACTAGTCCTGAACCTATGCACCCTTTAATGCTAAAAATTTGAACAGTTGATGTTGTTTATACTGAGGGACAAACCACATTTCCCATAACAGATAGGAAATTACTATCTCATTATTTTCTGTACCAATGTACACAACACTGTATGTTAATACTGTTAAAAATGTGACAGTCGGAGCAGGAAACTCGGGCTCCCCAGCTGAATAACCATAATAAATAACCATGCATATAAAATAATGGCACAAGACCACCTGATTAATTAACTTGTTATATGTAATGTCTGAGACCTCTGTGAACTGATTGACACATAAAAAAATAAATATATATATATATATATATATATATATATATATATATATATATATATAGTTTTAGATTTTACAAGGCCACTTATAATCACCTGTCTTAGCAAACATAACAAAGCTTCCACAGGTGTTCATTTTAAATAAAGTAATCCATTCAGTTTTCATGATTATTAACAAATAAATAGATGATAATATTATTTTACCATTAGGTACTTGACTTTTTTAATGTTAATGAAGTAAAGAAATAGAAAAATAGATAAACAAACTAAATTAAATACTTATTTAAGTTATTGAAAACAGAAATAAATAATTTGGAAACTAATCCAAAACTATTTATTTGGACAATATACACATGTTGGCTCTAAGATAAGTGCATATTCCCTTATTTACTTACAGTTTTTATTTAATTTTATTTATACATTATGAAAGATTTTTATTACATAGTGGTGGTAGGTATGGGCTACGGAATTGGTAGGTATGGGCTTCAAACATGGAATAATTTGTAGGTGGCTAGGAGCTTAGGTACATAGGGTCAGGGCCAGCATGACAACTAGGCGAACTAGGCAGCTGCCTAGGGCGCAGCGGTCAGGTGGATGCAGATTACAGGTGACACACAGGAAGGGAGAGCAGTGACAGCACAGCACTTCCCTCCTGCCCAGACTTATCTTTACCTCAGGGCTATTGCCCTCTGCTCCTAATTTACAGGGGCTTACAGGGGTCAAACCAAGCAGTCCCTTGCGCCCTTGCAGAGACCATAACAAAGAGGTTCTGCTGCAGCTGGCCGTACTGCAATCATTACATTAGCAAGCTGTTCCCCATGCAACCACAGGTGGCACTGTGTTGGGAGGAGGTGATTACTCTTTACTTACACCCAATCTACAGAGCAGCGCAGGGGCGAGAGAGAGGAGAAGGCTCAGAGAAGGCATGTGTCATCTTACAGAATATTCTGTAAGTATGGGGGATTAACTCTGTTCCAACAGATTCTGCTTGCTGTATTTTTTGTTTATCAAACACTTTATTGGGGTTTACTCTGTTTGACATCTGTATCAATATTGAGGAATGTCTAAAGAGTAACATCTGTACCCATATTTTTTCACTTTATTTTTCCATTCCTTCTCTTTGTTCCAACTCCTTCACCAGATCCATCTTCTATCAGATTAATTATGCTTCTTTTCATGCAGTTCTCTTATGCTCTAACCTTTCTCTCATCCAATATATCAGACCTCTTCTCTTGCACCACATCACTCTTATTCACCCTGAATATATTATTATATAAAATGTCCATATGTGTCTCATCTGCCCTATCTCCTCCTAATTTGTAGAGAAAAATATTTAGAAAATGGTTAGAAAAAATAGAAGAAATATGAACAGCAGTTCAGTGTTTGTTTGTGGAGGCTGGCTGCAGCAGCCTGGAGCAGAAGTCATCAATGGTGGCTGGGTACTGGGAAATGTGGGTAAAGGGTCCCCATTGGCACTGCAGGCTAGGATGCAATGTATTCAGAAAGCAAGAATCACAGTGGCTTGTAGCCCATGGATCAGCGCAGCTAGGGGAGTGGGCCATGACAGAGCCAGGAGGTAGGCACAGCAGCCAAGGGAAGTTGAGTGACAGCTAGCAAGCTGGGGGAGGGCGGAGCTAAGATGGAGTATTTATACTGGCCATTCTGTGAAGTGGCCATCTTAACTAAACCTAAACTTACCTGTTAGTTGGATGCATCCTGTTGAAGAATTCCTTGCTTGTGTTCATGTGGCGGTGAGGGAGCATGGCATCGCTTGGTTGCAGGAGCCGATGGCATCCCATGGACCTTCTGGCAGACCAGTGGTGGTTCCTGAGCGACGGCCCGCACGGAGGACAAGGCCTCGCCAATGTTTGAGCCCCGGTTCGGTGCCAGCATTGATAAGGAGCCCATCTCCAGAAGCTGCTCCTGTGGCAGACGATTTCGGAACTGGCTACGTGGTCGAGGCGGCGGTCGGCGGCGAGAGAGCTGGGTTGAGGTGTCGGACACTGAGGCCCCCGGCAGGTGGTCTATGCCAGGCGGTGTTGCTGGAGTGGGTTGGGGACGGGAGTCTGCATGTCTGCGTCTCCCAGGTCAGGCAGCGCCCCATCGGTTGGCGGCTGGCAGGAAAGGTCGGGTGCTGGATCAACCTTCTCTTTGTCGGCCAATCAAAAGAAAGGGTTCTGTTGGACATTTTGATGAAGGATAATGCAAGATGCAAGCCTTGTGTAAGTTTAAGCATGAATATTCAGGCTACGGGGGGAGGGGGGCATGGCCTCAACAGGTGCTTCTAGCAGGGAAAGTCTACATCTGCTGGCTGAGCCAGGGGTGTGGTGGCACTATCCACTTCCACTGTTGCCTTGGCTAAGCCGTTACAGTAACCAGGGTGATGCACAGTTATTTTTGGACAGGTTTTCAAAAGGGTTTGGTATTCCTTTTAAGTAAAAGGTTTTGGGTCAATTATGTGACAACTTGAAGTCAGTCGCGGAGCATGTGGAGGTGGTTCGAGATAAATTGGCTAAAGAAGTTCAGCTGGGTAGGATGGCAGGTCCATTCTCACAACCTCCGTTGGTGGACTTCCGGATTTCATCTTTGGGAGTAGTGCCTAAGAAAGTTCCGCCTGATCCATCATTTGTCATATTGAAAAGGTTGTTCGGTGAATGATGACATTGAATGGCCCTGTGTTCTGTCTCCCATGCATCATTTGACCAGGCAGTTGAGTTGGTTCAGAAGGCAGGACGCGGGGCATTGATGGCAAAGGCTGACGTGGAGTTGGCTTTTTGATTACTGCTGATCCCTCCAAATTGTCACCATCTGTTAGGTTACATGTGCGGCTGGGCTTATTTTGTGGACCTTTGCTTGCCTATGGGCTGCTCCATTTCATGTTCCTACTTCAAAAAGTTTAGTTCCTTTCTGGATCGATGACTTCTTGTGTGTGGGCACTGTCAGGTCAGAACATTGTGGCCATACCTCGCGGTCTTTGGAATTGGTGGCTCATTCATTTGGGGTACCCCTGACATTTAACAAGACAGTGGGCCCTACCACTTGTCTCAGTTTTCTTGGCTTTGAGATTGATTCAGTGGCAAGGGAATGTCGGCTGACTAGGGGTAAGTTGATTGCACTTCGAGAGCTCGTGGTGCGTATTAGAGGGTACAGAAAGATTACGTTGAGTGAGAGCAGTCTTTGATAGGCAGTTTGAATTTTGCATGTAGGGTAATTCCCATGGGGGAGTTTTTAGCCGTTTTCTCGCAAGGGTAACTTGTGGGATCCGGTCTCCGCGTTACTGTTAAAGTGATCTGCATATAAGACAGGTACAGACCACAATTCATATCCTACCGGGCCACCAGGCATAACAGCCTCGAGAGTTCACTCCACTGAACCACCAAGGATAACATCCCCGAGAGTACAGCAATGCTTTCCTATGGGGAGGGCCTAATGCACTCATGGCAATTGAGGTGACTTTGGAGGAGGTGGAGCGCCAACCCAGCACCAAGAGGCATCAGGGCTGGGATCCGGTATGTACAGTAAGGGTATTTTGACCCTTACTATGCTGGGGGGAGGGTGTGAGGGGAGGTGCAAGAAAGCTCTAGTGCTAGAAATACAACTTTAATTCGGATATGGTTACATGCAACATAATTATTGAATAGAATACAAAAAGTGAATCTCAGCAGTCATATAAATATTACAAGATTGTCTTTCTACCACTGAATATAGATAATGGGACTGGTGACAGTCATAATGTGATGTTACTTCTTGATATAAATGAGATATTGTAGTATGGTAATAAAGAAGAGGATACTAAAACTCTAGATTGTAAGCTCGTTTGAGCAGGGTCTTTATCAATTTATCATTCTTGTAACATTTTATAATTGTCTTGTTTATGGTTAAATGTCCTCTTATATTATTGTAAAGCCCTGCATAATAAGTTGGCACTATACAAATGCCAATAATAATAGTAATAATAAACGGCTTCTATCAACTTATTGGCAGCTTCTTAGAGAACAACCCTTCATGAAAAAACACTTCTATTGCTTTTTATCAGCTGTCACAAATTTATGTTGCACAAAATATTGCAGGAAATTCAGGAGACTCTTGCCGTGAAAGGAACAACTAAATCACCATGGCCAGTGGCGTGTATTTGTTATAGTGCTTGCAGTGTTCGTTTAATATTGTATTGAAGAGATAGAAACGTTGACCTGTTCGGACAATCATGTGTACCTTTGTTGAACTACCGTTGATGATCTCATCTGTGTCACAGCACCTTTCACAGCAAGGTGTAGATATTGAAGCAGTTATAACCTCTGCTATAACAAATGAATTGGTCAGTATCCCTACAGATGCACTACCTTTTGATAAGACTTTCTGAGTTTATCCTGTAATGGTGTGTATGTCATTAACAGATGGATTCCTGACAGGAGCATGCTATACAGAGAATTGTCATCAGAATTTTTATAACTAAAATTGTCACATCATTGTAGAAACCATACTGCTATGTGCCTTTTCACAAATGCATGCCCATTAAGCTAGATAAATTTTCTAGTGCTAATATTGTGAAATTTCATGCAGAATCCTTAAAATCTAGTGAAATTAATACTGTGACTTACAGTAGTGCTTTAGTTTAATCATTGCTCAATAAAAAATAATCACCTACTTGGCTGTGTAGCCGGCTGAGCAGTGAATTCTCCTCGTAAAATATAGTTGACTTTTGTTTATGCAAAGAAAATAAACTTGTATACCACACACTTGAAAGTGTTCTGGTTTCTCTACTCACACTTGTGCTATTCAATAAAACCTGCAAGCTCTTTATTGAATTATGGGAGCAGATGTTTTAGCCTTTATTTAGGAGTCATGGTGAATAAAGTAATGGAGCAGTTATCAGATGTATAATGCTTTAAGTTAAAGTTGAATTTTATCACCCTGTGTACTAGATTTACCTTCTTGTCTCCATATCTATTTCTGTGAAATATATAGCAGTGTGTCTTCATCATATAAACTACTAGTTAGAACACCTTACAAGTTTGTTTTCTCTCTTTAAATCTCTTACTTTGTTTTAGGTATACATGATGTAGGGGATTATAATAGCACTCAGGTGTTCTGGAGTCCTAATAAACTACAAGCTGAGTAGTTTATGGCCTTTTTTAAGGTCTTCAGAATATATTATGTTCTAAAAAAAAAAAAATTAAAAGTACAAAAGATACATTTTGCAGGTCCTACATAAACCTTCCTCGGCAGAGAGACAAAAAGGGTGGATATTCTGCATAAATTGATTAATCTCATAGCAGGAGTCTTTACGTTTGCATAGAGTAGGACCTAACAAAACTTGAGTAACTTGGTCAGTATACATTTTTAATGGGTGGTTGCATCTATCACTTTACTATTACTGTGGTTTTGGTACTATGAATATGTTATGCACTATACCAAGCACTTTCCTTCTGTTAAGATATTCTGATGTATACTTTATGCATAAATAAACACTTTTTCTATGTGCAAAACCTTGGTGTGCCTTTGGATTATTATTATTTCCATTAGGTGTATATATCCGGTGTGGGAACGGATCTCTTTCCTTAAAGAGCACCCTGTACTTTTTAAACCACTTACTTACTGCCCATTTTCAGTTGAACGCTTCCTATAATTATATGTTTGTATCTTTTTTATGTGCATACCTTTAACATAATTCTGAAAAATATGAAACTATCATAACCTGGTAAGGGAAGTAATGACTGCTATAATACCATGTAGTCAATCAGATTATGATTATTCTCTGTATGATTTTAATATGCAATGTATTTTTTTTAACCGCAAACCTTTATCAATTTAGGTTTAACAAACAGTATATATTTTTATTGATTTTATTGATACTCAGTTTTATAAATTTATTATTTTATAGACAGAATAGTGGTGTGTATTGACTAGTCTGTTGATTATAATATATTTTGATGAAAGACAAACATCTATTTATAAACACTTCTAAGGCCTGTATAATTCTTGCTTTAACATGTGGTGTGCTGAAAATATATTTGCCAAAATGAAAGTAATCCATTTAAACGTAAAAAAAATGCAGTTAAGCTTGATTGTCATAGATGAAGGACTGTACACAGATAAGGTCCCTAACAGAAACACATCAGCTTATCAGTATTAAAGGTATCATTTTTTCAGCAGGAATCTTGAGACTTGTATCACACTTAATCCTTTCCAGGCGAGATAATCAATAAAGCCTCTCTCTCCTGTCTGAAATATAATCAAATGCCAAACAAACCCTTTGTGTTATGTCTGTGAAATTGTTGGCATGCCAATGTAAGCATACCCTTATATGAACACAACCACTATATTTGTTTATATTTTTAGAATACTTATGTTTTGGTACACAAGATAATATCTGAAACTGTTGTCCTTTAGAATCATTAGTATAGCAAATGTTTCAGATAAAAAAATATGGTTATTGTTTACAACCTATGGCCTAGATTTAATATTTATAGATACGCTTTTAAATGATTTTTAAAAAATATTAAAATATATTAAAAAATATTAGACATCAATATTAAATTGAGGCCTATGTTTGTTTGTTTATAGAGAAACCCCATAGCCTGCCACATAGCTTTTAGTAAATATGAGGTTGATAAACCTATTCGACACAAGAAAAAAACAAAAAACTCTGGATACAGCAAAACTGCTTGCTGTAAAAGCATAGACACTGTGATACCATTTCCTATTAGTAATCAGCATTCAGACTTCATGCTCAGAGTGGTTGCATTTTTTGTTGTAAATCATACCTATGATGATATACTATATGTGCCTTCTAATCAGTGGCAAAACTAAAGAAGAGAGGACCTGGTGCAAGATTCTTTTTCTTTGGGCCCCACTGTCACAAGGATGGCCAAAAGGTAAATCCCCATCTGTCATACAACTTGCACAATGCTTTGCCAACTGGAGATCTATCATTTGCCCATCCTTGCAGGGTATTTAGCACTGAGCAGTGTTTGTAGAGCTCTTTCTTTCCACACATGCACATTAGGCTCACAGCAATAAAACAAACAGTAATGTGAATGAC